ATCAATTTTTCGTGCCAAATAGCTCGTGCCAAAGTGTTTTTGGCACGGATTTGGCGTATACCTGCCAAAATCCGTGTCATATCCGTGCCAAAATCTCTGCCAATCCCGTGTTTTTTTGTAGTAATTACGTAGTTAAATTGACCGCATAATGAAATTGTTACTCCGTTACAAAAATGTTTTATGACATATTAACATAAATAAATGTTTAAATTTTGTTTCTTATTTTGTTATACTTCTAATCTATTAGAATACGTACCCTTTTTACGGTGTATATGTCAACATTTTTTATTGTGATTAGACTCGAACATTTGATATTCTCCTTTGAGAATGTCACAGCCTCACCGGGATACCATGAGATGATCGTGCAAAACGTATTCTGAATCCTGAAAATGAGTTTTAGAACTCAATAATATCCTTCCAATTCAATGAGAAATAAAATGTTTGAGACAGAAACAAACTACAACATTATATTATCAAGTTAAATACTACACTTTTTCAGAGACAACTATGTAATGTTTTTAAATTTCTGAGTGGTTCGTTCACATTCTTTATTTTCTTTTAAATTGAAGTTCGAGGATGAGTGTTTCAACTCGATAAGATCTTTTCAACGAGTTATTAAAAAAATTGAAACGGAAAAAAAGGAAGATATATATGACCAACTCAAATACTACACGATCTGAGAGTAAAGTCCACAATATTTATCCTTAAATACAATGTACTTCGTATTAAGGATGTTTTTACTTGGACTATAATTTGTTGGTCTGGTCTGGTATGAACTGATTTGGTCTGATTTGGTAAGGTCTGGTTTCTTTGTATTTTTATAACTATCCAAGTCTAGTCTGGTCTGGTCTGAACTGGTCTGGTCTGGTCTGGGACAAATTACAATCCAAGTAAAAACATCCTAAATAGTAAAGGCGTAGTAACTAGTAATACGCATGAGCAAGAGCCTTTGCAATTGTTGATCCCTTGATATTTGTGATTTGTGAAGAACAAATAAAGTACTCATTTTCCATTCTATGTGTCCGACTAAGAGACAATATTTTTATATGTTACTACGTATAATAGATACTTCATTTTCTTTTCATTTTTTGGTAAGACCATAGGTGCATAAATGCCGATCTTTCATTCACAACCAACCGAGCTGTGAAACCCCTAACAAATCATACAAAAATGTGTAGCGATAAAGTAGGTTCATCAATACATAGATTGAACACCAAAAGGTAAATTATGGTCTAGACCAGCCAAGAAATCGGCAACTCGATTGCCCTCCCGATATATATGCTCAAGTGCTCAACTTTAATCATCCCGTCTCGATCTAACATCTCACGAAAACTGACGACATGAGAAAAGTGTTGGTGTGTGAGCTCGCCATCGTTGTATGTTCTCATTCACCCACAAATGCAAGTTACGGGCATATACTACTGCTAAGTACCGTTCATTTTTATGGCATTAGAAAACCTAACAAATGATTATTTTTCTTGTTTGTAATTAGTTTTTACTTGCTGTGAAATAATGTTAATAATAATTATAAGACTTCGAATGGCAGTGGGAGTAGAACTATTATATGTCCACCTAATACTTAATGAACTGTTTGAGATCTCAGCTTGAACACAAATTCGAGTTTAATGAACCAAATCTGAATCCGAAGCTAAATTACACGGAGTATTCATTCAAACCAAGTTTAACCATCATATTCATGATTCCGGTGGTTTTCGAACTTATCATTCACCATTCATTATCGAAGATTTCAAGTTAATTCTATACCCCCCCCGACCCCCATCCCGATCTGACCATTATTATTAGTTTATTACTATTAATGCTCCCAATATACTTTAATATCTATTTTTTCATATTAACTTTAATTATATTGATTCTTCAATATCTGATTTTTTTCAATTACTATATTTGTTAAAAACAAAATTGTTTTTACGGAAACTGGAACCTAAATGAAAGAAATCGTGGTGTTTGGTAAAATTCGATTCGTTTAAATCGAACTCACTCATAACAACTACTTCCTCTACCACATACATATCTATCCACTTTCCCTTTTTAGCCGTAAAATCCATATCTTCTCATTTCTAAATCTTCTTATCATACTCTCAATAATTATGAAAATAAAACACTGTTACAAGTTTACAACTACTTTTTTTTAATTTATCTTTCATTCCAGCATACTATTGCATTATCTTCTCATCATATTCTCAATAATTTATATTCTCTTTCACCATTCATGATATCACCTACTTTTAAATGGGAATATATATATATATATATATATTAGTGTTCCTGTCAGGACCTCCAAAAACGGACCTCCGTACGGATCTCGGCGTTAGGGTCCCTTCCCGGTGGAATTTTTTGATGAAATTTTTTGAGCATGTTCTTCATCAAGTCTAGTTTACCCATATCAAATTTCAGCTAAACATTATATCGGGAAGGCAGTCAAATAGTTTTTGGAAGTTAACTGCATTTTATATACATATAAAATGCCTTCCCGATATAATGTTTAGCTGAAATTTGATATGGGTAAACTAGACTTGATGAAGAACATGCTCAAAAAATTTCATCAAAAAATTCCACCGGGAAGGGGCCCAAACGCCGAGGTCCGTACGGAGGTCCGTTTTGAGAGGTCCTAACATGAACTTTCCTCTCTCTCTCTCTCTCTCTCTATATATATATATATATATATATATATATATATATATATATATATATATAGGGTAAGGTTGAAGTGAGAAGAATCCTTTAGGTGAGAAGTGAGAATGAATCTCAGTCGTTGAATTCGACTCTTTTGTAGTAAACACACTTTATATTGCACTAAAATATGCAACTCACTTTGGTGGAATTTTCTGAAAAATCCGTATTACAGCCATCTAGTGCAACATGAAGGTGTTTTGGTGCAACGTCGTCAAATTTTCGTGCAATATGAAACAGTTTTAGTACAACACTGCAAAAAATTAAATCTTACTGCAACATCAAGCTATTTTCAGTGCAAAATTGGAAGTCCAATGGCTAAGATTCATTCTCATTTCTCACATTAGATGCATTTCTCACTTGAACCTATATATATATATATATATATATATAGGGATGATCCTGTCCAGCAGCCCCCGGTCCGAACAGTGTCCGAACATGCCCATTTGAGGCACTTCCCGGTGGAATGTTTTGATGAAATTTTTTTAGCATGTTCCTCATCAATTCTAGTTTGTGCATACCAAATTTCAGCTCAAAAGATGATCGGGAAGGCATTCAAATCATTTTTTGAAGTTGACCGTGTTTTTATATGTATATTTTGACGCAATCAACTTCAAAAAATGATTTGAATGCCTTCCTGATCGAATTTTGAGCTTAAATTTGGCATGGACAAACTAGACTTGATGAGGAACATGTTCAAAAAAATTCATCAAAAAATTCCACCGGGAAGTGTCCCAAATGGCCATGTTCGGACACTGTTTGGACCAGGGGCTGCTGGACAGGATCATTTCTATAGGGATGAGTTCAAATGAGAAGATATCTTAACGTGTAAAATGAGAATTAATCTTAACCGTCCAAAGTGTCGATCTGATGCACAATCACCCAAATCAGTGGGGCAAAACGTCGGGGAACATTTGCCGGATTTTATTGATCAATCAAAACGAAAGTACATGTAGAGAGGTGGCCCAACCCAACCTCTCAAGAAAGGTTTAGAGAAAAAAACCTTTACAGCAGCGAGAAAAATAAATTAGTACACGTAAGGAACAGATAAAGAGTTTAAGGTAATAAATCCCTGAAGATCAGAAGATAATGGGTTGTCGGTCCGCCAAATGAATCTATCAGCCAAGCCCAGTTTAGCAACCAAGGAGGCAGGTTGATTTACCTGGGCCGGTTAAAGCCCAAGTCCCATTATCCAATATGTGTGTTTGTGTGTGTTACAGATGTAGTATTCCTTTTTTGAGAAAACAAACATAACATTTCTATCACGGACAGTTTATTAAAAATTTAATAAAGGAAAGTTCCTAAAATATTATGAATGGTACGGAATATGTTATACTCCGTATTTTGTTGATAAAAGTAGTTTATTGTCATCCTTAAATTTTAGTGCCATATTTCGGGATTCGGTTTCTCTACCTTACTTCTAAGCAAGGCATCCCGGCTGACCTTTGGGAGTCGTCCGATCAATATTTCAAGGGTCGGAGATTTTGAGGTTCATATCTTGAGGCACAAATTTTCCCATTTGACGGCCTCCCTGCCGCAAGGCACTCTGTCGTGTGGCAGAGGATCCCAATCCGCATATTTCGACATTATGAATTTTAAATACGGAGTTTGATAGTACATAGTATATACTTCTTTCATTCTTTAATTCTTGCAACATTGTGATTTCTGCACTATTCACAGACCTTACCTTGACCACGATTTTCAACTAATATACATAATCAAATTATTATGTATAAAGTGTTATTGAATTCCCATCAATGTACATTTCCAAAATATCAACTTTTTATAATGTTTACTAATACATAATTAAATGTAATTATAGTCAAAGTTGTACGTTGGCAAACATGAAAGTCAAACTGTTGCAAGAATTAAAGAACGAAGGATAGTACTATACATGACATGTTTTTTTATTGAACTTAAATTTATTTATATGATCTGATTTGTTTAAATTTGATTTGAACTTTACTAATATGATAAATGTTTAATCTCTGTGTATTTTATAACGTTAGAAGTTTAATCTGATTTTGTCTAGTTTGTTTAAATTAAATTTGTTTAATTCTGGTTTACAACCCAAAACAGTACAAATAAACATCCTATGCTATATTTTCCATGAATGAAAACATTTGCTTAAATAAACATCTTATTTAACTGTACACATGGTGTTAAAGTTTAAACAAGTATTTAATCATCATGAATGAAATAAATTGGATCACTAAATTTATTTTGGACCTAAAAATGAAGTGACGGGAGTAACACATGCTTACAAACTACTCCCATTAACCATTTCAATAGTTCATTGATACGAGTATTAGTACTTTTTATTTTATATGTAATAATGGCAAAACTTTTTGAATTTAAAAAGGTTGAACAATAGTTGAATACTTGAATTGAACATTCACGAGACTAGTCGTCACTCGTCAATCAAACCAGAGACAAAAGTCAGCAAATTTCCAACGGAAAAAAATAAAGAACATTAGGGAAACACACGATTGAATCTCAACCATACATTTGAAAGAGGATATCCTCCTAGCCTCTTGATGAAGTTACATTTTTTGCCCTTCCTCTCCCCCTACTCCTACTGATACATCAATCCAGCTTGCTACTAAACTAACCCAAAAAAAACCAGATCTTTCTTCTTTCATCTTCTTCCTCTTGAATCTACTAAGCAAAAACAGATCCACAAGACAAAGCCATTAACAGAAAGGCAGCCTTTTCTACTTCCCCAAGCTGTTTTCTCCTATGTTGCTGACTTCTTGGCTTCTGATACCCCACTTCAGTTCCTCCTCCACCAAACCCCAACAACCTCTTCCTCAATGGAGTTGAACTATATGGTGAAATCCCATTACTTCCCCCTCCTGTGCTGCTACTACCACTGTCACTTGAGCTGCTCCTCCCACTGTTCTTGCTCCCACTCCCAGTTTTCTTTGACTTCTTGTCATCTTTATTCAGTCCCAATAATGCCCTCCTCCTCTTCCTGCTCCTTATCCCACATGCATTGCATAAAGACTGCATTTTTTCATCAGATTATCATTAGATCTTCTTGGGTTTTTTATATTTCAAATAGAAAAAACAGTTTAACTAACTTATAAACAACTAATACCTTTGGACCAGCAGGACCACCTCTCCAAAGAGGAGTCTTTGTGGTGCCACAATCAGCACAAGCTTTGGTCTCTGACGATAATACCCTCCCTGCTATTGGAGTTTTGCAGATCATTTCTTCAGAGTCTGATCCCTGAGAAACCATTACAGACTTCAAAATCAGAGGTCCATCACATTGCATAAGTTAAAGAAACTAAGATATAAGATACTGGAGAAGATGATCACTCACCATATCACTTAGATCCACCATAGCTAGAAGATCTGAAGTTGAACCAACAAAGACAGCAACTTTCTTCACTTCCCACTCTAATAAACTGAATCAAGAACTGGGTAACTCCTAAAAACACTTGAAATCACACTGATCAAGCATAAACTGCACAGATCATCAGATCAGAAGGTGAAAGACACTTAAGAAAGCAGATGAAGAATCAGCAGCAGCATGCAGCTGAGGAGAGCAGAAAAGGCGAAGTGATGATGGAGGAGTAACTGGACTGAGCTGGAAATGGGGGAGAAACCGGGAGGAAGAAAGAGAGCCGACAGGAACTACTCAAATGGAGTGGAGGACGATCTTGAGAGAATTTTTTCCTTCTTTTTGTTTTTAATATTTTCAGTGGTGGGTTTATAAGGGGTCGTACGAAAACCCTAGCCGCGCGGGAGTGCGAAATGACGATAAAGCCCCTAGAATTCGACCGCGTACTGGTGCAGCACCCCCGGTCTTGTGTTTGGTCGGAGGGGATGTCAAAAGGCGCCGTTATGATATCAAAATTTAAAAAGAAAAAATTACTCTAATTCTATAATGATTGTGATTGTAATCTAAATTCTAAATTCCATGTCCATATTTTACTTTGGTTCACTTTTTACCGGTTTTGCTAGATGATGCAATCGTCTTCAAATTATTGGCATACACAGCTCACACGAGGGGCAAAACCAAATAACCCCCACATGAGCGAGAAGAAAATCATACCACCTCCGTCCCAATTTACGTGTCTCCTTTTGTTTTGACACACTTTTTAATAAAGTGATTAAAAAGGTAAAAGTTGTGGTTGAGATTTGAGTATACTAAAGTGAGATGTTGTGAACCACATATTTCTTTCCAAAAAGAAAATGTGACACTTATTTTGGGACAATCCAAAACGGAAAGTAAGACAGGTAAAATGGGGCGGAGGGAGTACAATACTATACTTTAAGAGCATCTCCAATGATAAAATGTGCACGGTGCACACGTGGCATGAAAAATAGCCACATAAATATTAGTAAATAAATTCGTTCTCTCCTTATTGGAATGATTTTATACAGTTTTGGTAAGTTTTTATCCACATTGTCAAGGAGACCGTCTAGATGTTGACATTGTTGTTGACATTGCAGGGAAAAACTTACCAAAATTGTATAAAATCATTCAAATAAGAAGAGAAATAATTTATTTGCTAATATTTATGTGGCTATCACTCATGCCACATGTGCACCGTGGACATTATAGCATTGGAGATGCTCTAATGAATTGAATAAAAAAGAGTAGAAAATGTGTGGTAGAAAATGGTGCAAAAGGGAGAGATCTATTCTAATATAAAAGCAAAAGAAGTTTGAGGACTAGTGTCCCCGCAATCCCGCCTACAAGTGTCAACATCATGTTTTATTGTAATTTTTTTTATCATAAATATCTTTTTTTATTTGTGAAAATAAATAAAAGGGAATTATTGTGCAAAAGGTTCGGCGAAGGCTCAATTGAATTTGGTGTTTCTATTGGTTAGAAAAAGAGGTGGCACTGTTGACAAAAACGTGTTGTGCGAATGGCATTGTATTGAGATTTGGTTACCAATCGTTGTGGATTGAAAATTCTAATTATTGATGAAGATGAAGGAATTACTGACAAGACTCTGAATGTTGTATTCAAATAAGTTTTCAACAATTTTTAAGGTTACATGAAATGCATATTTACGTATTTGTCAGATGTTTATGATCTTTTATGTAATGCTCAGTGCTCTCTTTTTAACCATAATATTATAAGTGTGTTTCGTTTAGACGTTTATTGCTTTGAGCTATATCAATATTACATGGAGATAGATGTTGTCATCAATTGATAGTGTATTTTGAATTAGTGAGCACAAATAAATTTGAAAAAATAATTCTCTGACCGTGCATCGCACGGGTGAGTTACCAGTATATGTAAAAATATACGGAGTATAACGAATATTGTGAATGGTAAATACTTTGTCGACAAAGAATATAAAGAATTATTTTGAGACAGGTTAAAAAAGAAAATTGAAAGGGAATTCAAGGACAAAGAAAGTATAAGATGTTTTGACTTAGAATAAAATTTGATGGTTTGATCTAGTCTGGTCTGTTTAAGTCTGGTTGGTCTGATATGGGACTGAAAACAGTCCCCAAGTACAAACATCCATAATCAAGTACAACGTCTCAAATGCTCTTGAGTCTCGTTTTTTATTGTTTGTGTTTTAACATGGAAGTCACATTTTTCAATTATCTTTATTCTAGTCACATTGATCTTTATTTCATATCTAAATATTCTTTTCCCTTATAACTTTGTTATCTTTTCTTTTTTAGTTCCTCAAAAACTTTTTTTTTTACCTTTCTTTGTAATCAATTCATTTGTAACTTCCAACATGAATGTCTCATTTATACAAACTTCAATCCTATGGTTTTTTCTATATTTCCTTCGTGTCGATCAAACTTGTAAGGAACGGAGACGTATTTGTGTTTAAATACACCCATATTATGGGATAGATATTAAGTGATCATAACTATTTAATTTAAATGTAAATCTAACCAGTGGCGTATGTAGTATGGGGGCAAGGGGGCAGCTGCCCCCACTGAAATCTGCAAAAAAAAAATTAAAACGACGTCGTTTTAGTCGTTTTGTCCAAAATTAAACAAAACCTCCGTATTAGCCTAGGTCTATGAAACTCAAAGCTGGGATTTCATACATAGCAGAGCAGCTTCTCTCTTCCGCGTCTGGGCAGCCAGCAGGTTCACACTTCGCAAGTTCGCATCAGAACGACGCCACGTCGCCACGACGCCACCGTGCGAGTTGGTGACCAACCCGACGGGCGACGGCCGCCGACGGCCAACGCAGACACGCAGTGAATCCGGATGCCCTTCTTCGATGGCTGAACTGCTGAAGATTCTAATTGACTCATCCAGTGAACACCTTCTTCAAGACACACAGTGAATCCAACCCTACTCATCTCTTTTTTGCCTCACTTCTGATTTTCTGAAGTTCAAGGTAAGTTCAATCTAATTCCTAAACTTTTTCTTATATGATTTTAGACTTTTACAGTTTATGAATTCCTATAATCGTATTTCAGATTTATTTCTGAATTTTGACTTTCTTTGTTTGAGTGTTTCAGTACTAATTAATTAACTATTTCTGAATTTTGACTTTCTTTGATTAATTAATTTTTTGATTGTGATTTGCTATTTACTATTGTGATTATTTGGAAACAAATAAATGAATGAAATAGACATTATGGGATGTGATTATGTGAAGAACTGATTTCTTTGACATGGTTGAGAATTAATTCAATCACAATTTCAGTAAATATGGCACTATTAAAGTATTAAGAAATATTTTTTAATAATGCGTGCAATGTAATCTAAATAAACTTATGAAATACATTTTCTTATTCAGTTATGGAAAAATCAGTCTTGGCAAGTTATTTTTCATACAAAAGAAAGTCTACTTTGGAGGATTTATCTAACCAAAGCTCTTCAGAAGGTTCTATCCCACGGCCTCGTATTGAAGTAAATTTGGAAAATCTTGAAGTTGATCCCGGTAAAAGGAAGAATATCAATGAATATCATGTCAATGATAGAGATATTGTTTGACGCCGATATCTTCAAATGGGTCCTTTTCAGCCTCAAAATCATATTTTTCCCTCGAGAGTCATCACAGGCACCAAACGAAGGTTCAACCCTCAATGGTTTAAAGACCATAGTAATTGGTTAGAGTATAGTATATACAAAGATGCAGCATATTGTTTATGTTGTTATCTATTCAATGATGAAAGTACAAGACTACAAGGTGGAGGCGATTCCTTTGTGACAGACGGATTCAATAATTGGAAAAAAGGGCCAGAAAGGTTGCGTGCTCATGTTGGAAAACATGACAGTGGACATAACAACCGTGTACAAGATTGCCGTAATTTGATGAATCAAGAGCAACATATAGAAGTATGTCTCTCAAAGCAATCGGAGCAAATGAAGCAAGAATATCGTATTTGATTGACTGCATCTGTTGATTGTGTACGATGGCTTCTACGTCAAGGCTTACCTCTGCGTGGACATGATGAAAGTCACGAGTCTATTAATCGTGGGAATTTTGTTGAACTCTTAAAGTTTCTTGGAGATCACAATGAAGAAATATCAAAAGTGATATTGCAGAATGCACTTGAGAATCACCAAATGCTAGCTCCACTAATCCAAAAAGACATTGCCAATGCAATTGCAATAGAGACATCTGATCTCATTATCAAAGATCTTGGAAATGAATTCTTTGGAATACTTGTTGATGAGTCGAGAGATATCTCAGTGAAAGAGCAACTAATTTTGTTTATCCGCTATGTTGATGCACGTGGCCATATAATTGAGCGCCTTCTTGGAGTTGTTCATGTTCTTGATACTACATCATTGTCACTTAAATCGGCCGTTGAGGCTCTTCTCACGAGACATGGGTTAAATATGTCAAGAATACGAGGTCAAGGTTATGACGGTGCTAGTAACATGCGAGGTGAATTCAATGGCCTTAAAACTTTAATTCTGAATGACAACCCAAGCGCTTTCTATGTTCATTGTTTTGCTCATCAGCTACAATTAGCACTTGTAGCGGTGGCAAAACAAAATGATGATGTATCGTTGTTCTTTTTCCACGTCTCACAATTGTCAAATGTCGTGTACGCTTCATGCAAGCGTAAAGATAAGCTATGAGGCAAACAGGTTGAGCAATTGGCTGAATCAATATCTTTGGGAATAATAGAAACCGGGAAAAGTTTGAATCAAGAGGCTACTTTAAAGCGTCCCGGTGACACGCGGTGGGGGTCTCGTTATAATGCAATGGTTAGCATTATGAAATTGTTTTCTTTAGTTATTGATGTTCTTGAAGAGATAAAGAAAGATGCAAGTGACCCAAAGCGTGAAGTGGAAGCATACTCAACATTGAAAAACATTCAATGTTTTGATTTTGTGTTCTATTTGCATATAATGAAGAATGTATTGGGAATTACCAATGATTTGTCACAGGCACTACAAAGGAAGGACAAGAACATAGTCAATGCCATGAGGCTTGTTGAGGTCTCAAAACAAAGATTGGTAATGTTGAGAAATGAATGGGAGGCACTATTAGAAGAGGTGTCATTGTTTTGTAACAAATTTGACATTGAAGTTTCTGATATGGATGCAGATTATGTACCTCTCGGAAGATCACGACGTAGAGTTGAAGAGAGAAAAAATCTCCGAAGGTATCGTGCTGAGATCTTTTATTTGATTTTAGATCTACAACTCCAAATTGGTGAGACTTGCATCATTCTATCCAAATGATTTCTCCGAGATTGAAATTGAACTTTTGGATAATCAGCT